ATTTGCCGCAATGTGTCATTTGGACTAAGATAATCTCAATATTGTTGGTCGTTTCCTTTTTGTAAGAGTGTTGACCGATAGTAGAGTTATTTACTTATCACGAAGTACGTCATACTCAGAAATTAATTCAAAAGGGATGTTGCCAGCTGGCCAGTTTGGCAACAATGCCTACATCCAGTGCACCATCGTTTTATAATTGCTTTCTTGGCCGGCAGCTATGCACACTTTACCTATGCAGCAGCTCTCCGCTCGCAGCAGGTCTGCGTGCCCATAAATTTATCGGTAGAATGAACAGAAGCTCGCCGAAGCTGTCGACATCTATCAGCGGGGGTAACTTTCTGGAAATTCGCTCAAAGAACGTAATTGTGTAGCTGGAAGGGCTCGCGATTCTCAATTAAGTTTTGTCTCGTGTATTTTACATCCCGTCCCTTACCCCTCATTCGCCGTGAACTCATTACTCTGCGCCTTAAATCCCATTTAAATAGCTCGGAGGTGTTTAGTTAATGTTCACCCACTTGTTTTTCTCTGGCTGAGCTGTGCCGCGGTACGCTCAGTGCGAAATCGCGATTTGACTGGATAAATACACTAAGAACTAATCGAAATTATTTGAGTTATAGTTCACAGCGACGTCAAACATCGTAGCTTTGTAGTGCGATACCTATTTTCTGAATCCTTATAATTCAGAAATTCAAGCTTACTTCCCACTTCACACTGGCGAGGAAGTATTGTAATCGCAAAAAAATCAAAAAAGAGAATGTTTTTTTGGATTTAATTGGGGGATTGTAGGGGTGTGAGGGAGAATGTATGGCAAATCTTGATATATATATACTTTTAAGCCCGGTGATTATACGCACCTATTATGAAATATTAATTTCATGGACCATAATTTCCCGCTAGGATTTGTCATTAAAACTTTAGCAGACGGCCTATCGGTCGCACATGCCGTGCGCCACGGAGTTATGTAATAATATTGCATCTTTCTTATTCGATCTGAGCAGGTAATCAGCACGACGACATACGAGGTGGACACTATATTATATGTACCGATATATAGTATAAAGGTATTTATCAAGAGCTATTATAATCAGTCATCAAATCTTAAATTAATATTAAATGATATCAAACATTTTTGAAAAGCAGGTTTACACTACGGCTTCAAAAAAGAGAGGCTTCCGTGTACGGATACGCTCATAGCTCCAGTCTGAGAAAATGTCTTCTCATGAAAAGCCCAGATAGTGCACTGGTTATGACAAAACCTGCGTCTTTTTGATGTTATTGCAGTATATGGAAAATTGCCCTTGAAGTAATTTAGTAGGCGTCGGAGATACAGACCTAATCTACTTGACGTATTTTTTTTATGAGGTACCCTGTACTTAATTGAAAATGGGATAGACCATAGCAAGAGTAGTCCATTGTTTTGGAAAATGTGATTAAACACCATCTGATTACGACCTTCACATGGCTCCACTTCAGTCTCAAAATACGAGGCTGGGCTGGGAAATTTCATCATTCTAGATACCAACTTGATGGCTAGACCTGAGTAAAGAATAATTGACGGAGAGAAGACAGAGACAAATAGATATGGTCCTACTGATATTGGCAACCTGAGGATGACAGAAGAAAAATATAGAAATATGTAAGGTTTGGAGGATTTGTTTACCATCCATCCGTAACTATCCCTCGGAAGGCTATGACTCACCGAAATAGCTAAACATTAAATACAATTAGTTTCATATATTCGATGAACATACGAAAACGGAATACTCGTAGAATACTTATATATGTACAATACTTATCTTGCACATATCTTCCCCACAACAATTTTGACCTTCATACAAAACATTCTCCAAATTAATGCAATAGACGCTGCTACTTTGCATATATGGACAAGCATTAGTTATATTCTCAAAAAGCCTACGAAACTGCTAAATAGATTAAAAAATGTGCCTGATTACAACACACATTCTGGGTCGTCATGAGAAATAACGTCTAAAACTGGGTAACTCGGTATTTCCTATGCATTAAAAAGCACGCGGCAAAATCTAGAGGGCCATTTCCTCGACTAGAAGTTCCCGATAGTATTTCTATTTGTTTGAACAGTTGCAAGAGCATCTAGTTATAAATTGACGTAATATGGAACACCCGCACTGGTATTATGTCAAGAAACTATAAAATGTTAAAGAGAACCTATAAAATGTCATCTTGCAGCTAGGTAGTTTTTAGGATGCAAACAGTCATTCACCGATGCTCACTAGGATCGTTGTGAGCGTCTATCTACGGAGGAATGGCTCAACTACACGCACTGTTGGTTGCATATGTTTTGTGAAGCCGAGAAGTCAGTAGTTTTCATCTATGAGAAGAAAGTTGGTGAATAGCAAGATCGCATCTGGATGATTATGTGCACTGGTCTGCATGTGTATAAAATCAGTGATATTCGCCACGTGAGAAAATCATTACTGAATATGCTGCCAATCAAGTATATCTATTAGCTGTGTCCGACGGGTTATTTATATGTTGTCCTTTCAGAAGAATGCTTATGTTCAAAGTTATAAACTGCGATTCTTTACGTTTTTTTGTGTTTTTAAAAACTTTGAGGAGAATTACGAGTAATTAGTGTTAGCATGTATATGACTTGTAATTAGACAGATACAGTGAATATAATTATTTAACTCTCTCATTTTTTAAATGCAGCAAATTTGCATATGTAATTTCCAGAATGGATAAGAAAAGGTGGATGCGCAACTAAATACTAGCTTTGAATATCAAGCAAGTGTATTTGAGACAAGAATCCAAAGAAATTTTCATCAACAGATAGTATTACTAACAGACAAATCCTCACTATACACATGTATAGACATTGTCGTTTTCTTCTACCTATAGTATACAACTTACAGCTTAGACCACCAGTAATGCCATCTCTGAAGTAGATTTTATCAGAGCCAAACACTGATAAATAATTGAAGCCTCATGACTTTAAGCAACACGTCCAACTTCAAAACGAGTTCACTTAGTGTCCACCACCTAATGATAAGTTGACATCTTGTAGAAAAACCTACATAATGTCCAATACAATGTCAAAAAATGTACATAGAAGGAGTTCTACGTAACTTGAAAAGTGACATTACGTCAGTTTTTTTGACATTAAGTCGGTTTTCCAACAAGTCGTCACAAGCCTACTTAGTCAACAAGTTGATATTTTATCGGTTTTTTTGACATTATATAGGTTCCTTACGTAGGAACCCTGCGGATCCTTCTCCACATTGGCTTCAAAAATAGCAGGGAATTTCTAAATGAGGTAAGCGTGCCAGTTTCAGTATTGCTTAGATCTCCGGCATTTTGCGTTAACGTAGTGCAAATATCTTCATGAGTGTACCATTCTGTAATGTAAAAAAAGGACAGTGAAGTTGCTTTTGACCTCCCTTTATCGGTTTGTCTTTTCTCACAGATTTCCTTTAGAAATGTGTGGTTGTTGATATGCCACAATTGTTGCAGCAATGTCTCTTCTTTTTACACAGTTTCTCGTAGGTTACTCCTGATGACTAATGCACAGTTTCTTCTTCTCTCTTTTTCATTTTCTCTTGTATGAAGAAGTTCAGTGCTCCAGAAGCTTAGCCGCTTCATGAAGCTGTGACCTCGTTAACACATTTCAGAGGAAAACTGGTTATTGGGGTATAACAAGATGAAAACGTTTTCTTTTCTCTGAAGATCTAGAGCATGAAAGGCACCTGCATATCATATAGTCCGTGTCAAAGCGATAAATCCTGGCATCTAATCCTCCTGCCATACTAAGGGCCTTTCCGTATTCTCTCGTCCGCTTTGAGCTTAATTTGACGCACAACACCATAAAAATCCTCACCGTTTGCTCATTGACGCGAAACGACATCCTAATGGTACCCATTCACGTACAGGCGGACTGCAGGCAATGGACTGAAATTTGACCTGCAGTCGTGGCCTGCGATATAGACCATACACGTTCAGTTGTATACAAACGATGCGGCCTGCAGGCCATCGCCTGACAGTCCTAGAACTGCAGGTCGCCTCATTATTTGCCATACATCCACAGTCCGTCGCAAAAGTTTCGCAGTTCTTGCTTGTAGTGTGTAGACAAAAGAACAATAAAGCAGTGGTAAAATGTTAAGAAAAAAGAAACTTATTTTGTTACTTTTGATTTTGCTATTAACTAATGAACGCGGAAAAAATGGCAAACGTTTTTGGGTGAAGGAATGGTTAAGAGATCGTGAAAATTTATCTCATATGAAACTCCTGAAGCGATTGAAAGATTCCAGCAGCGAAGATTTTAAAAATTATCTTAGGATGGACGAGGCTTCTTTCAGAAAATTATTAACTTTAGTTAAACCCCACATAAAACGACAGAATACAGTAATGAGAAAAGCCATTAGTGCTGAAGAAAGGTTAATAGTGACTTTGCGGTATCTGGCAACTGGACGTACATTTGAGGATTTGAAATTTTCTGCCATTATTTCTCCCCAAGCACTAGGAAAAATTATACCAGAAACCTGCGAATGGATTTACAAGGCGTTGAAAAAGGAATATATGAAGGTAAGTTCATAAAATTTTGGAATACAGTGCATAATATTTTAGAAAGAAATGGAATAGTTGAAGGAGATTGAAAGCCAAAATTTTTAGAAGCGTACATTTATAAAAGTACCTAGGTATTTATTTTTTAACCTAAATACCTCGCTAATATTCTTATTAAAAATTATGTATTTTATGCTTGCATTCCAAAATTTTCGCTTTTGTCGTAATTTGAAGTAATTTTTTATGTTTTAGTAAAATTTCAAAATAATATTTCAACTACGTATTTTATTGAAAAATGTATCCTTACATAAAAACTTAAAGGTGAACAACTTGTGTTATAGAAACGAATTTTAAATAAACTTTTGATTTCTATTGTCAAAAACATAGACAATAGGTAATAATGAACAAGTCGACAAGTAAAAACAAAACTTTAAGTATGTAGTCATTGAAGTTTCGTAAATTCATCGATTAAAAACCAGCAATTCAGTTAAAGATCCTTTAAGTTTCGACGTGTTGCCGCTTTCCTCCATTGTTTCAGGGGTAGTTTTATCAAGAGGTCTTATATAGTTTATATTTATGTCGAGGTTTTCTCCTTCTGCATTTGTGTACTGTGTTTCAGAAATAGTTGCTGAGGGTCGGGAAAGAGTGACATTTTGTTGCTGATTGTAAGTTGATGTGTGTTGCGAAGAAGTGAAAGTTTGTTGTTGCTGATTTGTTAATATGGGTTGGAAAGGAGAAGGAGTTAAAGGTTGTGGCTGTTGATTGTATTGAAGTTGCATTGGCAACATAGTATTATAATGAGATGAAACGCTATGTGCCGAATTTATACATATATGAGATTCCTCGCATAATTTCTTTTGAACACCAAGGAAGAGAAGACGGTGAAGTAATAATTCAGCATACATTTTCTGGTCGCTGTCCATTCGGCGCAGTTTATGGGCCACATTTTCTCCAATACTGTCACATTCATCATTTTCTCTGTCCAACTTAGCGCAAATCCTTTGGATACTTTCTTCCTGTCCATACTTCTTTCTTTTTGCACTATTAGAAGATCTGGAAGTTGATGGACGTGAATAGGTTGATGACTGATGCGGTGTTTGTGGTGGTGATAGCTGATATATTTCAGACGGTGCTTGCAACGCATCTTCAGTAAGCGGTGAAAATTGAGTATCATGCTGGGTGACATCTTCCTGAAAGTACAAAATACAAAATGTATATTATAATTTTTTTTACAGTTTCCAAAAACATCAGAGGAGTGGCAAGAAATAGCTTATAATATTGAAACCAGATGGAACTTTCCTAATTGTGGAGGATCTATTGATGGTAAACATCTGCGAATTGTTAAACCAGCCAACAGCGGGTCATATTTTTTTAACTACAAAGACTATCACAGTATAGTTCTCATGGCCCTTGTTAATGCTGATTACGAATTCATATATGTTAATGTAGGCTGTAATGGGCGAGTTTCTGATGGAGGGGTCTTAGAATATACAAAATTTTACGATAAACTTATAGAAAAAAAGCTAAATTTGCCTTCTAATGACGTAACAAAGCATAATTTAAATTTCGTTTTTGTGGCAGATGATGCGTTTGCATTACATGAAAATATTTTAAAACCTTTCCCGGGAAACAATTTAACAAAAGAAGAATCTATTTTCAATTATAGACTTAGCCGTGTGCGCCGCACGGTTGAGAACGCGTTCGGTATATTAGCTAATCGCTTTCGAGTATTCCATACTCCAATTAATATGCAACCTGACAAAATTGACAAAATTGTACTAGCAGCTTGCGCGTTGCATAATTTTTTGAGACGTTCTAAAACTTCATATATAACGAGAAATGATGTTGACACCGAAATTATTGACACAGGGGATATAATAAGGGGAGACTGGAGAGCAGAAAGACCATTAGATAATTTACAACCAGGATATGGTCGTAATGCTTCACGTGAAGCCAAAGAAAATAGAGTGAATTATAAAAATTTCTTTAATACTGTTGGAAAAGTTTCCTGGCAAGAAAATTTTATTTAATCAATGTACCTATTATAATATGTATCTTACTTGATAATTTTGTAGAATTAAAGAATTTATTTTAGACAAGAAATAAAAAGATTTTATTTGATTTTTTTATTTGCAAAAAATTTCCTTACCTCATTATTGGCATCGTCACCCTCCGACTCCGACTCATCATCATTTGAAACTGACATCCTAGGTTCTTCCTGCGAAGCCGTAAAAAGCAGTAATTTATAATACCAAAGAGTTGGCTCATACAGCTCTTCTGTAGATGATCCACTTCTTTTTGATTTTAGAACTTTTTTGTGCTCCTTTCGAAAGGCACTTCTAATATTATTAATTTTCTTTTTTACCATATCCATCGAAGCATTTTTGTCTACGGTTTTGCAATAACTTATAAGTTTCTCATACGCCTTTGCCTTTTCTTTTCGATTTGAATACTGTTTTGACTTAATATTCCATAAACTTGGTAACTGTCGATAAATATCAATAAAACCAGTAACAAACGATGGCTGATTTAACGTCACATCAGACATTTTTTACCAAAACTGTGTACACAATTTTAAATACAATGAAAGTCGCTATCGTACGACCCGGACTGACGATTAACCACCACACACGTACACACTTTGTGCAATCTTTGTAAACTGCAGGCACAGACCTGCCGGCCACCTGTACGTGTATGCTGAAATTTGGACTGACGGCCAGATCGTTCACAGTTCGGGACTGCAGTCCGCCTGTACGTGAATGGGTACCATAAGGGACAGCCGTGCCTTCTAAGGTAACCAAAATCGCTTGCGAATAAAAAGCCTTTGTATTCACGGTCTAACAGCTAAAAGACCGTCTTTTGATCTTCCTGATTCGTACGCTCGAATACTGGCGCAGACGTCTCAATACCTTACAGCGTTGTGATGTATCCTTCGAAGTATTTTCAAAGTCACACATGAATCAACTAAAGGTCAAGCATAAAACGACAAAAAAGTGTCGTGATTGGGCAGATTACAATTATCTCATTGTGAATCACGAGGATACAATGTTTACCTATATTAACGTTAACCGAAATCAAAGTGTCGCGACAGGGCTTAATGACAGAAAAACTTTAAGACAAACAGAATGTACATGTCGGCGGCAAAGACCATAACAGTTTGATTATTACAACGTTTGACTAAAGTTATTCCCTGCAATCACTGAACAATTTCAGTCAAATACCGTAACAACCACATAACCTCGTTACTGTATTTGCCTGTTGTATCAGTTTTGTGTTCATTTGCTTCAGCATACACACCACACCGTCTTTTCTGTGTTTGTAAAGATGTCGCAGCATTCGGACTTGTTTTACAAGAAACTAAGTGGATACTATGACAGTGTGAATAACAAAAAACCATGGAATACAGATGAGTTGAAGGTAATTTTTATAATTTTGTGAACCTTACCTAAATTATAACGTACATAGGCTTGCTCAACAGCAGCATCCATTGTTGCCGGATTTCGTATATAAATACTTGATTAAAGAACAATAATGTAATAATAAAGACAACGTTTTAATCTATTCTTCTTTCCTTTTATTCATGCATGATTATTTTTTTTCAGTATTACTGATAAAGTAGTACCTTGTTATATTATCTACTTCATAGGAGCAACACTGTAACGATTACAGCGTTTGACTAATATAGACGAATGCAGTAATGAAGTTAATGTGGTTGTTACGGTGGTTGACTGAAATTGTTCAATCATTTCAGGGAATGACTGAAATCCTTAGTCGAACGTTGTAATAATCAAACTGTTAGAGTGTTTGCCGGCAATACGGGGACTGGCTAGGCATTTTAGGAAATGACGGATTTCAGCGTTGGATGCCGACACTTCTTAGCAGTGAAACTTATTTGGGAATGAAACAAAATATCTCTGAAGTGAAATAAATTCATCGTTTCTCACTAGACAGCTGAGAAGTTACCTTTGAGATGGAAGTTTACTTATTCTATACTTTAGCGAAATCCATCCGTGACTTTGCTTTGGAGCAGTCTCCTGGGGAAGTTTGTCCAATGCAAACTATGTCCTCGTATTTCAAAGTCTCTCGCTATTGGGATCGCGCAAACGGTAACAGATACGCAGTCGGTTAAATGGAGGCAAAGTTGCGCATTTAGGTAAAAAAATGGCACATAGAAGGTGGCGCAATTCGAGTACTTCTGCAGATAAATGGAAGACATTTTCTCAAAATCTTTTTTATTTTTTTTCCTGGTTGTATTTGAATTGAGATTCAAAATAAGAAGTACACTAACGTTGACCTGTACAGGGCGACATAATTAGAATTTCAGTATGACGGTTTATCATTTTTTCTTATATGTAGATGCAATATTGGTTCAACATTTTGGAAATATAGTGATTCAGATGAAATATTGGGCAATTAGCAACCTGAAAAGTCCCGGGTTGAGTGCACTTGGTTATGTTTAAGATTTAAGACAGATCTTTTGGAGAGTGGCTGCAGTGTAAACTGATAGTGTGGTTATTGAAACAAGACAATGTTTCTCAAGGAGGGCTCATTTATCGAAATGAAGCAGCGAAAATGTTAGGTTTTCAAAATTATTTTTGGTCATTACTGTATGAGATGTAAAAAATATCGCGCCAGGCCCACTCCATATCTGGCATTCTAAATGAGTTCTTTGATTTTCATGGACACAAGTTCAAACGGTTTATTGGGCGGTCAAAATTTTTAAGGATTATACAATGTTGTTCAAAGGTTACATAAGAAAAACGTATTTTGAGTGGCGTTCTTTAGGGGCCTATATGTTCGTATGAGAGTCCGGTAAGATATTTTTTTCAGGAGCTGGTGGCATTATCTTTTTGTATTTTGATATGGTATTTATTGTATGTGTACGGCTGGATGACATGTTATTCTGGTACAGAGGGACACCTTGAGTAAATCTTCCGCTTAGGTACACAATTTTCGTCATTGTCGATACAAGTACTATTATTTTCAAAATACTGCTGTCTGTCTTGACTGCCTAGGATTTCTCCGTCTTTCTTTTCTATACTAATATTAATCGACTCATAACCCTTTTATTTTAACAAAATTTTGGAAAAAATGACGTCAAGTCTAGTAGAAGTGGTGAAATTCAAATTAAATATAAAAGAGCAATAGCATCAAAAATACGTAGGTTTTGTCAGAAACATTAGTGTAGCATTTGGTCCCTACATGAACAAAAATTTCCTCAGATTACAGCGGTAGCCCCATTCCTTTGGAGCTCTGGTGACTGCTTGTCAACAATTCAATTCAATTTATTTATTATTCATACACGGATAGAGAGTGTTTGATAACTGATTATAACAGCTCTTGATACGTACGTATACAACATTGTATATACTATATAATACTGCCTCACAATATCAAGCAACCTCATGAATTGCACTCCAAGCATAATGCTGGAACATATAAGTAATATCGCGCCCACCTCGTATGTGCAAATTGCGTCACCAGGCAGTCCGTTACCGGCCCTCGTATATACTACCAAAGACGCAATACTTACAATTCCCTAGCGAGCGGCAAGTGCAACCGGTATGTACGCGATCCGTCGGCTGAATATATGTTTCCGCTTCTAAAAGAAAAAAAATGTTAAAAAACGATCAAGGTCCTCTGAAACCTCAGAAAACGAAGTTTGAGCGGCATTAATTTTTTGGTTATTGTCATTTTTCTCCGCTATCACTATACCGATTTTCTGAAACTAGAAGGCCTTTTGTTCCTTGGCATAGTAGTAACCTTGTGTAAGGAACTCATTCAAATCCGAGCAGTACTTTCCAAGTTGTAGACGGACCAAGAATTTGCGGAAAGAACGACAGACGAACCGATGGAAATGAGTGACATGATTTCTAGTGATGTACGTGTCATATAGCATCCAGAAAGGAAGTGAAGAAATACTTAAATACTAAGTACAAATAGCTTCATATATTTCAGAAACGTACAAAAATGTTTCAATACTTATCTTTCAAATAGATTCTCCTCACTGATTTTACATTCTTAAATGTCATTCCCTAAATTGACGTGGTAGATGCTGCTATTTTGCAGACAAGGACAAAAATTAGTTATATTCTCAAAACATCCACATAACTTATGAATACATTCAAAAACTGTCCTGATCACAATACACTCACTGCGAGATAACATGTAAAGCTGGATAACCCGACAGTATTTCTGTTTATTCGAAAAGTTGCAGGAGCATCTAGTTATTAATTCAAGTAGTATGTAAGCCCGCATTTGCTTCAAAAGCAGCAGGGCGTCTTGTAAGCAATGGAGAGTGTCAGTTAGAGTTAGAGGATTGCTTAGTTCTTCGTCATTTTGCGTTAAAATTGTCACGTAGTGATCCCATTGGACAACCATGTGTTTGTGAATAGGTTTTGTTGTTAAAAGTGAAATAATTGTTATCAAAAAGATATTCTAAGATGGTGACAAAGGATTCCAGAGTTAGACTGCAGTACTGACATATTAGACCCCATTGTTTCTGAATGGATCTGTTGCAAGCGTCTAGGTAGACATTAAATCTTTCTAGCTTACGCAAACGCTTAACACTCTTCATTTAATGGTTATCCAAGATACCTGACTAACAGAATTTTGTTCAGCTCTCCTATTGCTATACCTCTTTCACAGAACAATGATAATAATCCCAACCTTTCCAACAATAACAATGACAATCATTCTAATAATCGTATTTCCAGAATTAATTTTGCAATCCTGCCGTATGTTAAAAACCTAACACCAACACCTTCTAGATTGTGCAACACTTTAAACTGTCGCATTGCTTATAAATCCTCCCTCACAATTAACAATGTTTTCTCCAAAATGAAAGATAGAGTTCCTCTGCTTAGCTTATCCAACATTGTCTACTCCATCAATTGCAATAACTGCAATCTCACCTATATAGCTCAAACTTTAAGATCCCTAAAAGGTAGAATAGCCTCACACAAAAGTGATGCCCGACTGCTTCCAGAAAGATGTGCTCTGGCTTCACATGTCAATACCACAGGGCATCAAATGGGATACAATCATATCAAGGTGCTAGACAGAGAAAATGATCTATCAAAACGTCTGGAAATGTCACGTATCTGCATGACAGACAATTGGGTGAACATAAAAGCTGATGAGAAATTGGAAAAGCAACATCTCTCCTAACATCGACCTTTCTTAATAATCGCTCAAATTATATAAAAATGTTTCACTATCTATAATAAAGTTAAAGTAAGTTTGCTCCAAATCATTTTTCCTCAAGTTTGAAAGTTCCTTCATATTACCTAGCCCGTTGGTAGGATAACATCCAAACCACACTCCTTCCACAATAACATCTTTAAAATTTGAAAATAACTATGTACTTCATCGGACAACAAAACACACTCCCTTGTACTACCTACATAGTAGGCCACACGCATCACGGGTACGGACCGGTTCGATGGCGAATAGCTTCAATGTCACACTTCATATACCACTGTAGAATATCAGTCGGCCGGCACGTGTTGCATAATGTGGAGGTTATCAGAAAAGATGAAATCTCGAAGGATTTTTCAGTAGTTGGTAGATTCTTCCAAATCAATCAGTGTTTAGAATTTTGGAAAACATAGCTATGGTTTGCCATTTATTAATAAAAAAATTCCATCCTTATCGAACCTCATCGGTCCAGTTTTCTGTTCGACGACTATGTGTTTCCTGTCACTGTCGTTTAAGAACAATTTCAGCAACAGTCTCGCCGACTTAGTAAGTAATTATATTTCTCCTCCCAATTGTTTACTGTTGCTATTTTTCAAAAAACGTTTTTTAGCTCCAGACGATGATGGCATAGACCATCGAAAGCTTGAGTTCAAGTTATAAGAGTGTACTTATGCAACAAAGAAATGAAGGGACATTTTCTCCAAACAGTTAAGGCAATTAACCATGAATACTATATATATATATATATATAGGTGAAAAATTAAAGCTTCCGCCTTTTGTTGGGTACTTCGACAAAATACAAACACGGGACTCTTTATACTTTTTCAATCTCTCTAGCTTTCAATGGTCTTGAACATCATCATCAGGAGCTGCAATTACATAGAGAAAAATAGCAACAATTGTGCAAAATGAATTTAAATTAACTTACAGAAGTATGTGAGCATGTTGCATAATACTGTAAGTTAATTTAAATTCATTTTGCACAGTTGTTGCTACTTTTCTCAATGTAATTCCAGCTCCTGATGATGATTTCAAAGACCATTGAAAGCTAGAGGGACTAAAAAAGTATAAAGAGTCCTCCTTGCTTAAATTCTGTCGAAGTACCCAACAAAAGGCGGAAGCTTTAATTTTTCACCTAACTGGTCTAGACGACAATGACCATGTCTCACGTTATATATATATATATACATATAACGGATTTTTTCCAGCTGCTGCCGTCTGTTCATCCAAAATTTACATCTTTTTCTATCAAAACCTCGTCTTCCTCTAAGTTCCTCGTGGTTATCGTTTGCTCAATGTCAACTCGCCAGCTCCTTCTCCGCCGACCTCACTTTCTTTTTTCTGGTGGAATCCATTCTAATACCTTCCTGGGCCATCTGTCCGCGTTCATCCGTTTTACATGCTCGAACCAAGTTAAGTGCCTTTTTTCTACGTCTTCGTGTATACGTCCATCCACCTGCATCTGCATTCGGATGTCATCATGCCTAACTCTTTCGAGTCTTGATCGTCCACAGTTGCTGTGAGTTTATTTTTGTTGGCCTTGGTAACATTCCATATTTCTGATCCGTAGAGGGTTACACTTTGGGCAAGGCTACTATGTAGATAATTCTTTGTAGCTTTTGTAATTTTTTTATCCCAGAGAAGAGAGTTCAGCGTTCTGGTTACTGCTCTACCTTTATTAATCCTTTATTGTATTTCGTTTTCACTAATTTTTATTGAATTGTATTCCAATATATTTAATACAATTTACTCCTCTTATTGTGCCAGTGTCCAAGGTAAGATTGTTTACCTCTTCATTGCCTACTATAAGGTAATCACATTTCGCTAGGTTCGTCTGAAGGCCTGCCATCTCGTACTTTTCTTTTAGTTTCCTGATCATGAGATAATCTTCGTCTTCAGCAATAACTATCTGGTCATCTGCGAAGAACAGCGGCGTAGCTGTAACCTTGTGAAAAACGAAACGACGGAAATGAGCGACATAGTTTTTCGGGATGTACATGTCGTATAACATCCAAGAAACAGTATCTGATTTTCTAAATTTTCCGCGATTTCGATCCTTCCTAGTCAGTAGCCGTGGGAAGTAAGTAGTTGCACTAACTTCTGATACAGGTGACACATTGGCAGGAGGCATATTAATTCTTCTTTCACATACTTGACGTACCGAGGTTACACAACAACGTAGAGTATTTATCTATAAGAATACCTCATAAAACCTGTCGGAAAATCTTTATGCTTTCGTATTAGGTAAGCGAAACACAGATTTCCATACTTGTCTTCCAGCAAGCGCTCGGCCGTATCTCAAGCCACCGTCCGGAGGTTGTTTGAATCGAAATAGTCTTATTACGGATTTTCGAGCCGTTCAAACAAAATATCGATACGGACACCAGCAGACGATTATTTACAGAACGACGGGACACCGGGTTGGTTAAACGACTGAGCTGGATGGGTGTGTGTTTAAGAGAGTATGGCCCGCGCATTTTTATGAGAAGGTGGTTCGGTTATTGAAAAAGTAATATATGTATGAGCCCACAGCGGTGGTTCTGAATAGGCTTTTGGGGGATCCGGATCGTTTACATGCTCCGCTTGACAAGCAGCAACGATTAACTTTTTGGTCGGAGAGGTGACTTGACGCATAAGAGGTTTTGATAGAAACTGTAATAACGAATATTGAAACGTTATCGTAGTCTTAACAAGGAGTAGTTATAGGAAGAGAAGGTAGTTAGGCCAGGCGAAAAAAATTAGAGAGGGAGAGAGAGATAACAGATGACTCCAAAAACATGATGTCCACAGAACCGCTGATGGCGTTTAAAACACTGGTGTTCTCAATTTAGTCTAAACCAAATGCGTTGGTTGCCAGATAGATAATCTTTTTTGGACGTAGTCATTGACTATCACTTGCATTTTTGAACAAATTCACTTTTGTTAGGACATTTATTCCTGATGGGGAGATTTTTCATTTATTAAAGCTATAAATCACACTTATCACATAAGTTACACGACATAGCTATTTAACTCCTGGCACATACTTAGTTTAGTAATAAGTAAAAGTACTTCAGCTTCGAATTCAATTCTAACCTCAAATTTCTTATTTGATCAAAACCCGGTCTATTTGATATGGTCTCCAGTTATCTAAACATCTTGGCCTTAGGCCGATGTACTTATTATTTTAGTATGACTGTTTCACGTATCCATCAAATCCTGGAAACGAGTGGAACTCCACTCTGCTTAGTATAGTCGTACATGTAGCGTTTTATAAACATTTTATGGCATCTTGGCAACACTGCCTTCGTAGCCAAGGACGGTTCGCAAGATCGCTATTTATATTTGTAAACCAGTAATGGTTCCAGCCAACCGCGAAGTGTTGATCACATCACGTACTCATATGGAATGTTAAAACTAGTCAAATCTTAAGTATGCTAAGCAGCAAATTCGGCAATTTTGCTGTTTAGTTTAGTTTTTATCGTATCATATCAGTACCCGATGATGTAACAAAAAATTTATGATCGATGACCCCCAAAATGAATGAGGTCGACCGGCGGGCAGTAAAGTCATTCTACGAATTGTCTTCTCTTGATATAACCACTCCTTAGTTTTAATTGACTTGTAATAAGCAACGTTAGATACATACAGGGTGACTTCGCAGTTGAGTCGTTTATTTTAACAGTGAGTAGATCTGATCAAAAGAAATGTTTTTTTCCTTTAACATTTTTGTGGTAAAATTAAAGTAACAAAGTTATAGCCCTTTAGAAGTTTGAGTACCGCCCTGGTTCAATAATGATATTATGTGCTCGTGTTTGGCAACAACGGATATAATCCACCTTATCGGTTCATCGCATCGGAAACAAAAAAGCGAAAGAATTTGAAACGCTTATCACGATGTTTTTACTACAATTTTATTCAGTTGTATTCAGTGAATGCTTCAGTCGGTAACCCGTGAATGAATAGTGGTGTTTGTTGCGTGGCTCAAACGAAATAAAAAATGGCACATGTTTACGAAAATGTTGAACTTGTGGACGTGATTGTTATTTACGGAAATGCTGCTGCGGCATCACGGATTTATGCGGATCGGTTTCCCAATCGAGTGCAACCAACCCCTCGTGCCTTTGTTAATGTAGTACAAAGGGCTCGTGAATCAGGTGACTTAAGACCTCACAGGGGAGGGCATGCCGGTGCTCCAAGACCGCACGATCAAATATAGGTCCACACTGAAATATTCGTTATATTTATAAAACAAGGTATTTTTTTAATTTTTTTTTATTTTTTCACACATATTTTGGTTTATCTTCCTTCTACAATCATTATCTGAAAATTGATGACTCAACTTCATAGTCACCCTATATATGCTGAGTGACAAAAAAGTGTGCGTACTTTTATCCTATTTTAATAATTTTTGGCATATATGTTCAGTGTCCCTTACTGGTAAAATGGTTAAATTTTCAGCTTGATTCGTTACCTGACTGCAGTTCAATAATGTTTTGAGGGTCCACGATGTCTGTTACACTCATTGACACGCCTGGACATCGTGCTGATAAGGTGGTTGAGATCCTGTTGGTGTATCTCATTCCAAGCTACTGTAACTTCGTGAGTAAGAGCTGCTAAAGACTGTGGAGAGTGTTGCAAACTCAAGAGCCTGCGACCTATCATGTCCCAGACATATCCAATTGGAGATAGTTCAGGCACTGTCTTGCTGAAAAATCGAGTTTTGGATGGTGTTTATCTATGGAATAAGATGAGGCTCCACTACTAATTTATAGCAGAAGCTAGGAACAACATGGGACTAAGAATAAACCAACTAACAAAGACAAACAACTAAAATCATGATTTTTAGCAGAGAGTCAAGTATAGATATCTCCAATATTCCTATCAATGGAGTCAGCATAGGTAATACGGATCATTACATGTATCTGGATAGCAGACTGCATTACTGTAAAAGTAAAAAGACGCATAGAAATAGCAGGATCGTGGCTTATCAACATAGGACAAGTCCTAAGTAATTATATTTATTCACCAACCTACGAGACGTGGACATTGGAGGAAGAGGATATAGGTAGATCGTATCTAATAATTTGAAGAATTCCTCAAATCAGCTAGATAGGTAATTTACCAAAGGACGTGTTTTACAGATGATTAGTGTACGTACCCATCTAACTAAGACTATGATCTAGAAACATATAGGGGAGAAGCGTCGAATATATACATCCTGGATCCGCATCACCAAAGAATGGACGGATCCATTTTACAGTGTACAGTACAGAATAGGGGAGGTTTATGCCATAATAGTAGCCACCCTCGAAAGGAATGGCAGAAATTTTACTTACTCCAATAATATGAACATTCACAAAAATGGCAGCAGACTCAGCAATTGAGTGCAGTTGAGTAGTTCAAAGAAACATCAGAAATCTAATTTTAAATAGAAGGCTCAGCTTTGCCAGAAAGACATTTGTTTGGCTTGGCGGAGGTCAGATAACCAATAACATAGCTTGCTAGGAACAGTTTCAGTTAGTCGCTCTAACTACTGTTTAAACTAAGATGTACTTTCTACTATATAATTTCCCCATTTTATGCAAGGTCTGCATAAGCATACGATTTTGCCTCGAGTGTTACTCACATGTCTTAGAAGCTGTTGCCCTGATTACACTAGCCATATTTGATGTTCTTAAGAGGAAGGTTTATGTCTGATCGTTGAGACTTTCTTAACAGTAGATCTTGATCTTCTGCTCTTTCTATCAATTTTTATTTTTTGCTAATCTGACCTCTACGTCATGATGCTGCCACGTTTTATATCTGTCAGCAGGGCCCGTGAGGATTTGGCTACTTATTTTAGATTGGCAGGGTCTAAAAGGAAAAAAGGATTTTCTCAATCATGCCAAACCTATTGACAGCTGAAAAGTCGTATCTACAAGACATATTTAGCTTCTTGAAAGCAGTAGTGGTAACCCGGAATTTAGCGCATGCCTTTACGGTACATAACTGTCATTGTAACATGATAATGCCTTATGTCACAGTTACAGGACAACAAAATGGCGTTTTTCTTTGCGTTACCTAACAGGAACTGACTATCCCCAGTAGGATACAGGATCACAAAATATTTTGCGAAACCCGTCAAAAACGGCAACATCGTTTCTCAACGACTTGCATTCAGCAAATGTCCGAAAGTTCAACTTTGGCATAACCAATGATTTGTGTGTGTGCGTGATTTTTGTTAAAACTCTCCAACAACCGTGGTCATGTGCCTTAACTGAATTGTCCTTTGAATTTTAGGGGAGACTCGAGCAAGCCGTGTACCAGGAGCTTCTCATTATTACTAAACCGACGTTCAGAAAAACATCTAAAATGATTCTCTATTTTCCGTCCTCAAGGAATAGGCAATCATAGTTAATCTATCTATCTATATATATATAAAAAACAAATAGATGCAAATTATCCGCTTCGCTCGATGAAGTGAATACATGTCACAAATTACTAGGGTCCTAATTAACTAATAATAACAATAACTTCGCCCTGCCCGCATTGCCGAAAGCCATTTGTTTACAAGATTTATTGTTTTCTATCAGAACCATTTATACAGTCCCCCTCAGTTGATTAACTGAGATACCTTAAAACCATTCGTATACATAGTATAAAATTGGAATTATAGGCACAATACTTATATTGCAAACTCAGTATCTTTGTTAAAAACACACATTTAGTTATCTGCTAGCTGACTTCCTCAATTTACACTATAAATTCGATTAGCCTGGGGTGTTCGTTTTGCTTGGTGTTCCCCTACACGGTCAAAAATAAAAAAAAATAACTTTTTTTACCTTGCATTTTCAGAAAATAGCTTCTTATTGAAGTTCGTCATCCAGAAAAAAACATTTAGCTTTACTTATTTGCCTT